ATGGGATTGAATGGAGTCATGAAGTTTACAGAATGAAAATTAATGCAAACAAGGTGAAGGGCTAAAGTACAGCCAACATTCTACACCCAATCCCAGCTAAACAAAAGTTGGTCAGGTGGGGAACCACCAAGGGGAACACAGCTGTTTGGCAGCAATTTTACAGTCAAATGACTTGTAACTGGACATTTACTTTTCTGTAAAAGCAAATCCTGCCCAGAGAGCTACCAGCCAGAATCAAAGGGCGACAGAGTCATCAGAGCAGAATTCTAGGATACATCGCCTCAGTCATCATGACTGTACAGGTCACAGCGAACCTGGTGTCAAGGTGTGACACCATCTTCCCTCCTCCTCCAATCAAAAAGACTGAGGATGACTAGCAGGGTAAAGGCGTGCAAGGGAGCAGCAATTAAAAAAGTGGGTCAGTGTTAGAGTGGAAGTGCTGAGGCCTTTGCTTGAGAGATTTTTGTGTGAGGAGGCCGAGCAGAGTACAGGTATAAAAACAAAACTGCTGGAAAAGCTCAGCAGGTCTGGCAGCATCTGTGAAGGAAAAAACAGAATTAACGTTTCTGGTCCAGTGACCCTTCCTCAGAACTGATGGTGGCTGGGAAAACGTCAGTTTACATGCAGAAAAAAGGGGGAGGGGGATGGGTGAGGAGTAAACGATAAGACAGAGCCTAAAGAGAGAGAACAGCAGCTGGGCAGACAAACAGTTGATAACAAGCCGGCTGGGAGGGTGAATAGTTGTTAATGGGGACTATTAGTGATTAACGACAGGTGGTGTGTAATGGCAGGCTATGTGGTGACAAGGCCTGGTGTGTGGATAGGGGGCTAGAACATGAGAGAGTTTAGGCCTTAAAATTATTGAACTCTATATGGATTCCGGAAGGCTGCAGGGTTCCCAAGCGGAAAACGAGGTGCTGTTCTTCCAGCTTGCGTTGAGCTTCGCTGGAACACTGCAGCAAGCCAGAGACAGAAATGTTGGCCAGGGAACAGGGTAGTGCATTAATGTGGCAGGCAACAGGTAGTTCAGGGTCTTTATTGCAAGCAGAACATAGATGTTCTGCAAAGCGGTCACCCAGTCTACGCTTAGTTTCCCCACTGTAGAGGAGGCCACATTGTGAGCAGCGAATGCAGTAGCCTAGATTCAGGGAAGTACAGGTGAAGGTATGTTTTGGCCCTTGGGTACTGGGGAAGGGGGACGGTACGTGGGCAGGTGTTTCGCCTTTGCTGGTTCCATGGGACGGTGCCGTAGGGGTGTGTGCGTGTGCGTGTTGGGGGGTGAAGGATGTGTGGACCAGGGTGTCCCGGAGGGAACAGTCCCTATGGAAGGTGGACAAGGGAGGGGAGGGGAATATGTGTCTGGTGGTGGCATCTTACTGGTGGTGGAGGAAATGACATCTGATGATTTTCTGGATGCTAGTGGGATGGTAGGTAAGGATAAGAGGAACAGGTAGGGGCTCTTTAACTCTACTTTGTTTCTGTAGAGATTGAAAGCAGTAGGGACGGCAGAGAGGTCAGTGGCATGCTCCTCTTGCAGGATGTGGGAGATCAGGGAGACTTCCAGTGTCCCTGGTGGCTACACCTGAGAAGTGTACCTGGCTGCAGCTCCTGACAGACCGCGTTAAGGAAATGGAGCTGGAGCTGGAGCTGGAGCTGGAGCTGGATGCACTCAGGATCATTTGGGGCGCAGAGAACGTCATTGGTAAGAGCTAGAGTGAAGTGGTGGCTCCTAAGGTACAGGGTGCACGTAGCTGGGTGATCACCAGAAAAGGTAAAGGGCGGGGCCGGGGTGGGAAAGAGATAGTGCAGGGTTCCCCTGCAGCCATTCCCCTCAATAAACAGGTATATCACTTTTTTGGGGGAAGGGGGATGACCTTTCAGGGGCTAGCAGCCGCAGTCAGATCAGTGGCACTGTGACTGGCTGAGGCTCAGAGGGAAAGGGTCCAGAAAGACAAAGTGATACTAATAGGAAACTCAATTGTGAGGGGGACAGAGATTCTGTGGCCACAGAGGAGACAGCAGGATGGTATGTTGCCTCCTGGGTGCCAGGGTCAAGGGTGTCTCCGAGCGGATTGCAGAACGTTCTGAAGGGGGAGGGTGAACAGCCAGAGGTCATTGGTACAAATGACATAGGTAGACAATGTGCACAAAGGGATGGGGTCCTGTGAAATGAATATAGGGAGTCAGGTAAGAAACTAAAAAGCAGGACCTCAAGAGTAGTGATTTCTGGATTACTCCCAGTGCCAAGCGCCAGTGAGGACTGAAATAGAAAGATAGGCCAGATGAATGCATGGCTGAGGAACTGGTGTAGGTGGCAAGGTTTTCAGTTCTTAGATCATTGGGGTCTCTTCTGTGTAGGGCTTGTACAATTAATGGTAGGGCCTTGGGTAGTGTTGTGGAACAGAAGGACCTAGGAGTGTAGGTACATAATTCTTTGAAGTTTGCATCACATACAGACAGGATGGTTAAAAAGAATTTTGGCACGCTTGCCTTCATTGCTCAGTCCTTTCAGTATAGGAATTGGGACATTATGTGGAGGTTGTACAGGACGTTGGGGAGTATACTTCTGGAATATTGTATCTAGTTCTCGTCCCAGTTATAGTAAGGATATTATCAAGCTGGAGAGGGTTCAGGAGACATTTACCAGAATGTTGCCAGTATAGAGGGTTTGGGTTATCAAGAAAGGCTGGATAGGCTGGGACTTCTCTCACTGGAGAGTAGGAGGCTCAGAAGTGACCTGAGAGGTACAGATAGAGTTAATGGTAGTGGTCTTTTCCCTAAGATAGGGAATTTCAAGACTAGTGGGCACATTAAAGGTAAGAGGAGAGATTAACATAAGAGGGCATATTTTTTACACAGAGGGTTGTTCGTGTGTGGAATGAATTCTCTGAGGAAGAGGTGGATGCGGGTACAATTACATTTAAAAGATATTTGGATGGATATATGACTAGGAAATGTTTGGAGGGATATGGACCAGGAGCAGGCAGGTGGGACTAGTTTAGTTTGGGATTATGTTCAGCATGGACTGGTTGGACTGAAGGGTCTGTTGCCATGCTGTATGACTATGACTCTACGTGCTCACCAAATAAAAGCCATGAACTGTCACTAGCAAGATGCTGAAAAATATGCAAAAACCACACCTTCTAGCCCCGCTGCACCAAAATCCCAAGTTAGCACTAGTACCTAATCACACGAGTTCAGTCCAACAAATTCACATTATGACCACAGTTCCTACTATATTAGGGAACAGTTGTTGGTAAAGATTCTGCGTTTCCTGTTTACATCTTGTCCAAAATCCCTGTTTTAATACAGTGCCACATGGCAGGTTGGAGTTAGAAAATTACAAATGTTTGGGATTGCTGGGTCCTTGGCAGCACGGAGTAGAAGTTGGCTAAAAGACAGGAAACAGGATTGGCATAGATGGACGTTTCTCAGGCTGGAGACAAGTTGAAAGTGGCATTCCCTAGGGATCCATGCTAGGACCTATGCTTTTTCTGAGTTCTATAAATAATTTGGAGACGGGTGTTGAAGGCAAAATCTCAAAATTTGTACATGATACTAAGCTATGGAGAATTATGAATTGTGAAAATGTTGAGGGTCTTCAGAGGGACATTCACAAGTTGGCCAAATGGACAGACACCTGGCAGATGAATTTCAATTCAGAGAACTGAAGTAATGCATTTTGGGGTAGAAGAAACACAGATAATACAGGTTCAATGGTGCAACTGTGAGGGGAGTACAGGTGCACAGCGATCTTGGGATTCATGTGCAGGATTCTCTGAAGGTGGCCAAGTAAGTTGAAACAGTTAAGGCAGCTTGAAAGATCCTTGGACTTATAGATTCAGATATAAAAGCAAGAAAGTGGTACTACACTTGGACAAATCACTGGTCAGAACACATTTGGAGTAATGTGCTCAGTTCTAGGCACCTTATTTAAGGATGGAGAGTGTTCAAAAAGAGATTTACTAGAATGATAACAGGAATGTGGGATTTTAGATTCAAGATTAGAGAAATTGGCCTTATTCTCCTTAGAGCAGAGAAAATTAAGAGGTGACCTTATTGGAGATGTTCAAAACTATGAACAATTTTGACAGGGTAAAGGAGGATACTCTATTCCCACTTGGTGGGTCACTAACTAGGGGTCACAATTTTATAAAAACCAAAAGAACTGCTGATGCTGTAAATCAGGAACAAAAACAAAGTTGCTGGAAAAGCTCAGCAGGTCTGGCAGCATCTGTGAAGGAAAAAACAGAATTAACGTTTCGGGTCACCAGATCCGCAACTTTGTTTTTGGTCACAATTTTATGACTGACAGCTCGGAGTGAGAGGAGGATAAATGTTCTTACTCAGTTACTACAATTTGTCTGGGATAAGTGGAGGCAGATTCCATAGGATGGTTCAAAAGAGAGCAGGATATATATCTGAAAGTGATGCATTTAGAGGGCTATGGACTCAGGGCTGGAGAATAGGACTAACTGGGCAGCTCCTTCAGGTGCTGATGCAGACACGATGGGTCAAATGGTCTCCTTCTGTACTGTAAAGTTCTATGATTCAAAGAGTAAACTTACCGCATTACTATCCCGTCTTGCCTTGCACCATCATTCTTTCTGTCATTAAATCAGTTTGCCCTTCCACTCTAGCACATGCCTTTGCTTGTGTTCTAAACCGCCATGGCCACTTTTCCTAATTTTGTATTTGTTTAACATCTGGTATATTGAGCACTGACACAAACAAACATTCTTATTTTCGCTCTTCACCAAAGCTGCCTACTACTGAGTAGATCTAATAATTTAATTTCATATTTCCAGTACCTGCAGTAGTATATTACTACTTTGGCACAAGATATGCTCAGGATACAACTCCATACTTTCCACTGCACGGAAACGAAATATCAAAGGCTGCTTCTGTTTTATTGCCATGGATTACGCAAACGAAAGCTGAAAAGAACAGCTGAAAAGTTTTGGAAACTTGGCCCTCCAACAAAAAAGAAATTTACTTACAGGTAATTATTACTAGAACAGTTCGAACAGCTAAGTTAACCCACAACTCCCAGCACTCTGGGACCTTGGCTACGAAAACTGGGACAATTATCTCTGCTGCAACGAAGAACTGGACAGCGTAGGTAATGAAGATTCCAAAAGAATACAAAATCTTCACAGACTGATACAACCTGGAAGAAAAGTTTGCACACAATTAAAGTCTGCAGTGATTCAAAATATGCTATCATACTTGATCTCAATTTTGTCTAATTTCTTCCCTTCCATCCCACACGCTATTCAGTAACTGATGCAACATTAAGAGGAGAAAGGCAACAACAGCAATCCATCTGTTCATTTATGACAGACATTGCTGGTTTCCACATTATCACACTCTTCCAAACATGCAACAGCATAGCATGCACTGAAGTATTCAATGTTACTTTCTGCCCTTACTCTATTTTAACCCAATGGAACAGTAACACGCAATAGGAGTCTTAGATTTTAGCCAGAATAGAGAGAGGGCAAGGTCTGGGAGTGAGGGAGGCAAAGGAAGTGGCCAGGACCAAGCAACCATTTTGCCTAGGCCAGGAGGGGACCTAGTGCTGGGAGCAGCTTTTTCCCCCAGTGCCAGGAGGGGAAGTCAAGAACTCTAGGTCTGGGTCACAGGAACAACTGGGAAAGGGAGAAGCTGCAAAGAAGAGTGTTGCAAACTTGTGAACAGTGGAAGACAAAGAACTACAAAAAGTTGAAATTAGTGAGATAATTACTTACAAATATGGTACCTCTATGTTACAGCTGCATACTTTCAGGAGCTATATAGTGAAAAATATTGCAAATGCTTTTACAATAAGCATGATCAATAGTCATTTAATCTGAGATTAAGACCAGAAACAGATTTCTTTTTAAAAAACGTAGTAAGCGCCTGATTAAAGTATTCCAGTTTTGCAGATGTGTGATATTTCTATCACACAATTTGATATGATCTCAGCACTGTGTGGAAGGTGTATTCAGGGTGATTGGCTGTGTGTGTTTAGAAGAATGTTATTTTCCAAAAAGCTTTTTGCTAATTTGTGTTTATTGCCTTGCCAATTTAAATTCTAGTATCTAGGAATTAAAGCTTTCTTTGTGCGATGTGGCTTTATGTTTAAATGGGATTGATAATTCATGAACAAAAACAAAGTTGCTGCAAAAGCTCAGCAGATCTGGCAGCATCTGTGGAGGAGAAAACAGAGTTAACGTTTCGGGTCCGGTGACCCTTCCTCAGAAACGGACCCGAAACGTTAGCTCTGTTTTCTCCTCCACAGATGCTGCCAGACCTGCTGAGCTTTTCCAGCAACTTTGTTTTTGTTCCTGATTTACAGCATCCGCAGTCCTTTTGGTTGACAATTCATGATATTGATGAATTGTTATCCTGCTTCTGTGCATGTCCAAATATCCTACATGACAACACAAATACAAAAAGTAATGTTACTACCTGATAGGAGCCCAAATAAAAGTAAATCTTCTCCAATTCAGAACATAGTACTGACTTGGCAAAACACCAGCTGGTTATTCATTCTGCAGGCACAGAGGTAGACACAAGGTTGCTTCTAAGCATATAGTTGGAATATTCTAATCATGATTTTTTACAAAATCTCTGGTCTTAATCTCAGGGTATTGCTGGGTATGGAAGGTCTGAGTTAAAAAGAAAGGCTGGATTGGCTGCGACTCTTCTACTGGAGTGTCAAAGGTTCACGGGTCCCCTTAGAAACTTCTAAAATCTAAGGGGTAAAGAGAGGGTTAACAGTAGCGTCAGTTTCCCTAAGATGGGGGATTTCAAGACTTTTCGGCACATTTTTAAAAGATGACAAAAGAGAGATTTAAAAAAGACGAGGGACTTTTGTGTTTTGACGCAGAGGAAGATTCGCATGTGGAATGAACTTCCTAAGGAAGTGCTGGATGTGGGCACAGTTACAACCTTTAAAAGACACTTGGATAAGAACATGAATAAGAAAGGTTTGGAGGGATATGGGCCCGGAGCAGGCAGGTCAGACTAGTTTAGTGTGGGATAATGTTCAGCAGGGACTGGTTGGACTGAAGGATTTGTTTCCATGCTGTACGACTCAGATTTATATGTAACGATAAAGAGTAGGCACACCTGTTCCATCTCCCTTGCTCCCAATCTCAAGCATTTGCTCTTTCGCAGCTGGAGAAATTAATATAGCCCAATGCACTTCATAAATAACCTCCACCTTCGAGGGCAATAAGCCAGTCAGAGGGGGCTTCACTCTACTTTCTTGCCAATCTGTCTTTCTCAAAAGAGACGGATTTAAAATAACAAGTTTTAATCAAGTGGATAAATTCCTTCTCTACCCATTTGTTTCATGACAGCATTTAAAATATTGCACAAGTAATGGAAGATCTTCAAAATCCAATCATGTTACTCAAATAAAGTCAAAATCAACCAACTTGCAATTAAAACCAGAATGAGAAACTGGAAGATTTGGAGAGGAAGGGTGTAAGTAAGATGGAGGACAGAGGAAGTGACAAAGATGATTGATGAAGCAGAAGGCAGGGTTGTTTATATGGGATAACAAGGTGTAGAGCTGGATGAACACAGCAGGCCAAGCAGCATCATAGGAGC